TATTAAATTTCAAAATTAATTTATTAAGATTTTTACTTATCTATCAATTTTTATAGGTCAAAAAATTTTTAGTCCTTTTGCCTTTAACTTGTTTTTAAATCATTGAGCCATTATACTATTATATATTTTTTTATATATAAAACTCTTCGTATACACATGTATGTATCAGATAATTGAATTTAACGAAGATCGCAATAGATGTCTAAAATTGTTAACGTCTGAAAAATATTAAATTTCAAATATAAAATATTTTAATTTTAAGGTTTGGATTGATTACGTCTTGCGCAATAGAGCGACATAGCTACTCGGTATATATATGTACATGACTTAGCTAAATTAAAAATATCTCCAGTTACAATTCTCTTCTGTTTTACGCGGAACTGTCATAAGATGACTGTTATATGGCTTGATAATTAATCAATGATTAATTTGTTTTTGTTAACTGTACGGTTGCCTTCAAGTGATGCATTATATACACATTCGTAAGAAAATAATTGTTTCATTTTGCTTATATAATATTTAACAATTTTTTATATTAAGAGGAATATCAGCATCATACAGATATTCCTCTTACACGCAATATTACGAATTATTGTTACAATTGTTCTCGCCGCGAAAAGCCGAACACTATCGTGTTTCTTGATGAAAGTTTCCTAAATTCAAAATTATTTCTATTCAATCGTATTTATATTCTTGTACTAAAACTTTTAGTACATTGATAATGGGAAGAGAGAATTTAATAACGTGACTCAGCGTTTATTTCTCGTCTAAAGGCGATGCATCATATTGTCCACTTAACTGATATGCTTTTGTAGGAACGCTCGAATCTATTGCGAAATTTGTTGTCAGCTGGCTCACATTATAATTTCGCGCTAATCTACCTTGCAGTGTAACAAAAATAGACGAATTATCCGAGCCGTCACTCTTATCTCCGTTGACAAGTTAATCGCTGATCTAACGATATAACTATGAAATAGTATTTATGTTTTATCAACAAGTTGTAGAGAAGCCACGAAATGCAGACATAGAAAAATGTTTTGAAGTTTCTGACGAAATTAATCGATGAAGGAGATCGGGTGTCATTAAAAGGAAAAAAGATCAATAAATAACTTTTGTAATATTAACGCGGAGAGTTAAACTATTTATTGCTCGACAAAGTTATTAATCTTTGGTCTCTATTTTACATAGAAAGAAATATTAGACTGGAAACAATGAGTATTACACAGAAATTTTATTGCGAGCAATTTTGATCGAATTAATTTCGCTTGTTAATTTAATCAATAATAATTTATTATCAAATATATTTGTAATTTTATATTGTTAATGTGCGGATAGAATTATTAATTTCTGATTTAGTAATAGAAAGAAAGATTAGATTGGGAACGATAAATTGTAACCAGAAATTTTGCAAATAATTTTGCAGAGATCCTTATTAATCACCAATTAACTTAATCGATGATAAAATATATTACATCAAGTACTATGTTACGTAGATGATTTTTATCGATGAAATGAAATGAGATGAGCCAATAGATGAAATGGGAGATTAGATTAAGATCGGTGAATTATCTAATTTTAGAAAATTTGCGGAAGGCAATAATGCCCCGATTGAATTAATCACCAATTGGGTTAATTAGAAGAGACCCATCGCTTCAGTTTCGCCGAACGTTTGACATCGATTTTCAATATTCTAAAATTTTCAATTCATAACAACAGTTGTTAATAACAAATTTTTTATATAATTCGATTTCCACGTTAAATGATGCGGCATATTTTTCCAAGCGATAAACATTATCATCCTTATCATAAAGAAATTAAAGATGACAACACAAGTCAGCAACACGTCAGCCGTTCAGTACCCCATATTGTATTGTTGGACATGGTATTTAATTTCGTATGTTTACATCTGTCTGTGCCATGTCAGCGAATTATTTTCGATTCGTCACGGAACGTTAATATAATTTCGCTGAATTCAGATGATGATGACCCTGATATATGTCATAGTTAACATTCTTTTTCTCTCTTTGTTTTTTGCAAACATTGAAATTTGATTTCTGCATCCACATAGTACAACTATAATCCATTTAAACACGAAAAATATTTATGTTTTTAAATTATTTTATGAATTAATATAATTTGTTAGACATATGAACTCAAAAAGAAATATATTATATATATATAATGCAAAATTTATATACAGCGAGAGCAAAAAGTAGATGATATATTTTCTATAATTAATACATATCTTTTTTTGATATATAATTTTAAGCAACATATAGTCTATTTTATTCTTTATAAATAAATTGTTAATTACATAGCAAGAAATGATCATCAATTAAACGTTGAAATGGTATTGAAATCATCGTATCGATGTTGATTCAACATCAATTCATGACTCATTTCTCGCTCGATAATATCTACTTTTTAAAAATAAAGTTCTTTTAAAAAATATTTTCTCTGTACGAATACATTTTGCACTCACTGTATATGTACTTTTAATAAAAATATAATTTCCATAAAAACAAAAATATGATTTATTTTTATTACAGAATTAAGAAATAGAAAAAACCTAGAAAAAAGTACCCTTTGAATTTAAAAAAGAGCGTATGAAATTGATGATATAATAATGAAATCTTTTAATTGAGACTTTCAAGAAAATATTTTTAGAACAGAAATGGAACGAAATAGAAATTTATTTCCTAAATGGAAAATAAAAGAAAAAAATTTTTTTCAGACTCTCTGTGCTATTTAGAAAAATTATACGAGATTTCAATTCTTGTAATTTTGATAATTATTTTCATTTTTGTCAAGAACGGTAATCAGAGCAATTCATTGACGAGACATTGCTTGTACATTGGAGATGTATTAGACTAATATTGCTAAGTAATAATAATTTATTTAATAATAAATTATGTTATTAGGGGGTATTTTGCAATTGACATTAAAGTTTCTCACAAGTCGGCGGAACATGATGACGACATTATGGTGGCACGCATGTGGAAAAGAAACGTTTCGCGCGTGTATGTGTCTTTGTAATTTGTACTTAATAGCACACAATAAAGATCCCTAAGATCGTATTGCGTATGTGTTTGTACACAATCAAGATATGCGACTGGATGATTCTTCAAGGTTCTTATTCGCGCGATAGATTATATAAATGTGTTTTCCGATAGTCATTCTGCAAAATTCGCATAAAAATAAAATATTGTACAACGAGAGTGAATTTCAGATATCCGCTACTCAAAAGTAGAATAAAGGGGCAAAAAAAAAAAGATATTAATTGACTCATCTGATACCGAGCTATCACATGTATAAATAAGATAAGATTTTGTATAAATAAGACAAGATTTTCGTGGACATTCTTTAAACTTTTTTTTTTCAAAGAGTCAGATTTTAGATTTTGCGGAGCAAAATCAAGAATATTGCGTGTATTTGTTTAACGAGAGAAAAATGTCTACAAATTTTTCTGGAAATATCCAAAATATATAATTATATATAATAATTCAAAATATAATTAAAAAATTATTATCATTATAGAGACGACGAATTTGAGAAAGATTATAAATCTACAATTATAATAATAATTAATTTATGTAAACCATATACATATACAAAAATTTAATGTTGGAAAGTGATGATTAATTATTTTCAATACTTTGTTGCGTATTCCCGTGCTAAATATATATATATATATAAATAAATACATATATATATATATATAAAGATATAAGAAAGTAACGTTATTGCTAAACTCAAAAAAATAAACATGTATATATATATATATATATATATATATATATCATGTTTCTTGTGATAAAGTTCGCCGAGTTCAAACAATCTCCATTCAACTGTGGCTCCCAGCAAACAAGAATGGATTGAAATGAATTGAAATGGATTCAGATTTTCAGAAATATTGAATCATGAATGTTAAAATGAATGCTTTTCAATTCTAAATGCATTTTTATACATTTATATGAATTACATGGAGCATATCTCTACCTTTCAATCCAAAAATAATATTAGCTTTCTCTGTGTACACAATTGTGAATACTGTTCAATTCAAAATTTTGAATAGGAAATGCAGTTTTTCAATCCAATTGCATTCAATTGAATCTAATTAAATCCAATTGAATTTAATTCAATCCAAAAAAAGTATTCGCTATTTAAAATACGCATTCGGATAGAAAAAAATTTCAATCTATTTTGATTCATTCTCGTTTGCTAAGGACATCCCCAGGATGTATTCCAGATAAAATGTCTTACTTTATAAGGAATATAATTCGGAATTGAAATTACCTCCCGTTGCGTTTATTCAAAACTCCGACGAGAGGGTAAAAAACGTGGATCGTCAGTAATTTTCATTACGCGAGAAGTTTCGCGGAAAAACTCTGACTATCGAAATAACGGAGCCGACTCGCAACACGGATGGATTTCACGGATCGACGTGAATGTAGTCGCGAGACGCAGCGTCAGCAATTTTCCCGCGCGATCTACGGCGCGCGCGGTGATTGGTCGCGCGTTTCTGACACCGGCGTTACGCCGTCAATTGTCGTCGATGATACGCGGACAGATAATAGCGATGGTGGTGGGTGATGTTGCGAGAATACACTCGATATTTCCGGACTGTCTTTAGACTGTCTCGGGCCGGACAGACCGGAATCGCCAGAATACATTTGTGTATGCTCGATCCAGCTTACGCGCGATACATAATCTGGCTCACAATCAGACATAATTGCAGTGACCACGGCAACGGTGGCTTGTTGGGCTCTCGTGGCTCGCGGCCAGCTTCAGAGGGCTCGAGAGCAGTGCAGACACTGCAGACAAGTGTCAAGTGTAGATTGTGCAGACTGCAGAGCGCAGAGCTGCAGAATACTGACGACCAGTGACGGCGACGGCACGACTAGAATAACTCGCTCGTTAGCGGCTGCACGCGGTGCCGCGTGTGCTGTATGGTGGACTTCCTCTCTGCCGCCCTCGTGTATTTCCCCGTACCTGTCTGTCTCGGTCTCGCCTAGTCTCGCCGTCGTGCGTGCCGCAGGGTGGAGGGATAGTCAGGGACAGTGCGATTCCTGGAGTGAGAAAGATCAGTCGCGCTCTTCGCCGATCTCTCGGTGGTTTATGCGTGGTTGCAGTCAGGACGCGGTACTGTATGCGGTACTGCTGTGAACGATTCAGTTTCGCACGAAAGCCTGCTCGCCGGTGGATCTTAAATGTGTCAGTATGGATCAGAATCAAACGATCGGAATGGATATGGACCAGTTCTGCGGTACCAAGTTCTGGGTGAGTCGGAAGGGCAAGGAGAGCTCTCCAACTTCTTGAGAGCTCTCGATTCCTCTTCGTCTTTTTCCTCTCTTCGATTCCCCGATTCCTCGGATTCCTTCGCGTTAAGACTTCAGGAAACACTTTCATCTCAGGACTTACGAAGAACAACCCGTTGATCGGTCCATCTTAAGATCCCGCTCTCAGTCTTGTAAGATCTGGAATCGTTCGACCTTCTTGGACGGCGATTTTCTTTAAGAAACGTGATGTTTTTCGCACGATCGTGTAATCTTTCAATTGACTCTCTAATTTCTCTCTTTAGCTCGTCAATTGATCCGCGGGCGGAGAGCGAAAATGACGAGTTCCGATTCCGCATGAACCTCCTTCGAAGTCGATCGAAGAGTGTCGAAGGCTGCTTTTCTTTTAGGAGACACATGATGTTTTCCAGTATGAGACAGTTAACCTATCTAAACACAAAGGTTTTACATCGCAACGATGTAAAACAGTTTATTTATTGTGTTTATTTATTGTGTTCGAGTCAAATTTAGACCAGATGTAGAGTATAGGTTGCCGACTGAACGCACTGTGTAAACTAGGCCATATAACATGACACAGGGATCGTTTCGTCTTTGTTAACACTGCAAACAATGATCTAATGATCGTGTTGCACCGTGTCATCTGTGTCTTTTGCTAGAAAGTGTCCACAGACAATCAAATGCCATTCTATTCTTCATAGGTCTGTTGCTTGAAATCCTCGAAAATTTTACGTGTTGAAGAGAAATAAAGCGAGGAGTCTGAATGCAAAAAGTGCAAGCAACGCGAACGGAGTATCGATCACGTAATTTTTTTCTCTGGAATGGAAACGTAAAGTGAAATTTTTTACGTATGTATGCAAGCACACATGGAGGTACAAAGCCTTGCTACTCAAAGTTGCAAGTTTCGGAGAAGATATAAGGAGTGAGTAGGCATAAGAAGGCATGAAAAAGCATGGCAAGGCATTTGTGTTCTCATTCGTACATATACACGTGCAAAAGATTTTCACTTTTTATGGCTTTCTAGGGAAAAAGTTGCACGATTGACCCTCTAAACTGATTCACGTTCACGCGAAATAGTAGGTCTGTCCGCGTTGCTCGAAATCCCCCAAAATGTTTGCACTCGAAATAAGATAGATATATATTTGATACGTTGAAAAGAGAGAAAGCGAAGGTGCCGAGTGCAAAAAATACAAGTAAAGTGAACAGCGTTTTCTTTTCTAGGGGAAAAAAATCACGTGATATCGCTACCCTGTCGCTTTAATCGTCTCACTTCATCGCCTCGTGCTGTGCCTTCTTGCGAGCAGACACACGCACGTGTTTGTCTGTGTGCACGTGTACGCACGTTTAACACGCCTTCCGATTATAGAGCCAACATGATGAAGCAATGTCATTATCTTCGATTGCGCGATTTTAACGAAATCGAAATTACGGAAATAAGTCGTGCGCTCATGCGAGAGCATAAATCTGGGCGTCCGTAAATTACACAAATTATTTGGCATTCGCAATCACACTCGTTATCAATTAGGATCCCACGTGCGTGATATTAAACGCAAACACGCGCATCGTGTGCGACAAATAACTCAATAATTATTGCACTCGCGCAATCTGCGATGATGAACGCGAGTGTAGAACAAACACTTAGAGCAATACTATATTTTTCATGAACATGGCTAATGTAATTTGAGAATCTTCAATTGTCGACAAAAGTCAATAATTTTCGACTTTAATTTAATTTCAAACTCGGTTCATTTAATATCCATTCAGCTAATTATCTTTTTCTGAATCTTGAAACTGGAAAAAGATGAAGAATAAGTTGAAATTAAAATTAATCCACTTTGGTAAAAACGATCAGTCGACACAAACGTTCTATCCCGTTTTTATACTTTCTAAAATTTTTAGAGTAATCTGTCTTGACAATTACGGAAAAACCGGAAAATATCCATGGGTAATTACGTCGAAATTCTAACGAACGTGCAAGAAAAATCGGAATGTATGAGAAAATAGAGATGTGTTCTATTGAATTTTATTTCGGAGAATACATGAAATACAGCAATACCGAGAACTTATCTTTGCACTGATAAGAACACTAGACAAAGTTACGAATGTGTGTATCGATGAGTTTTGAAGTCAACAGCTGATCAGTTGAAAAATTGTCGCAGAAAATCTGAAAGCTTTGATAACAAATAAAAGGATAATGGATCAAATATAATGGATTTAAATTATTTAACTGAAATCGATTATCAATAACTCTAATAATTAAATTTGATAAATAGTCTGAATATAATGAGTTTAATCATATATACAAATTTAATCCAAAGAGAATCTCACTCATCCTAAAGATTGAAAATTGAGCCACTTTTTCTTATGACTGACTCAATTTTCATTCTTTGGAGTGAGATTTTATTCAAATTAATTTAAAGAATAACATTCAATAAATAAAAATAAAACAACCGTGTCTCTCAAAAGGGAAGCAGTTTATATGTAAAATTTTTTCAATGAAAAAAGATTGCTAGGCATTTACAGTTTGTTCTTCAAGAACGCGACCGACATAATTTTTAAATTATTTCTTTACTTTTAAATCTATTTTATATATCAAAAAGATGAAGAGTTAATTGAATTGAGATTAAAATTATATTAATAGAAACGAGCATAAAAAGTTTGTGGAAAAAATGAATGTGTGAAACAACAAATGTCGGTAATTTCTCGGTATTACGATAAAACGAAAGATATGTCGAAAATTATCGATCACGCTTTAATTGAATAGACTATTATGAAACTGAAATATGGATTCCAATTGGAATTATTTCGTTATTTTTTCGAGAATACACAATAAAAATGTAGGTAATAAATAATTGAATAATTTTGATTAGAATTCATTTTAAATAATTTCATAATATATACCCTATTGGGAATAGAATATTTCGAGAAGATAACTGCGGAATAAACGAGATGCGAGAGGAAAATAGAAAGAGGAAAAGATCGTTGGAATAATTGAATAACGGATTCATTGTCTCGCTTGTCTCGCTTGTTTCGCTTGCCGCACATCACTGTTATGTAATAGTTTAATTTCCTGAACGACAGCGCGTCGAATGTAGCGACTTATATCATCGGGTTCTCCCCTTTTTTTTTCATTCATCTACACTGTCTACAGTGTTTAGCATTTCGAAAGCATGTTCCAGTCTCAGTCATCGAAATAATTATCATGCATAGATCTCGATTGATGAATTAGAAATTAAAAAATTTTATTTATAAGAAATAAAAATTTTTTAAATTACAATTATTGAGTATTTTAAAATCATTTGACTTTTATTTCTAACATTTTTTTATTTTTTTCTATTTCGATATTCGCTTCTATAAAGAATCGATTTTCTTTAAAGAGTTTTATCCCTTGAAAGTGCATATATAAAAAAAATATGTATCTCAAAATATATTTTGATCTAGAGTTCAACGTATTACGAGCTTATCAAGTCAGCTTATCAAAAGTCGGAGACTCTTCGGATTTCCTTGTTAGATCGCTGATTCTTCATGTCTTTGTCTTGTTATCTTTGTTTCGTAAATTTATGTCGATATCGGTGACGTAAATGCGATATTTCTTTAAGGATGATCGATCCAATTCCGTTTATCTCAATTGATTAACTTCTCAGATAACATTTATGTTGCATAAGATCTAAAAGATGTCTAAAAGACGTCTTTTAAATATCTTATGCAACATGTATGTTATCTGGATTATAACAAGTAATACCCATAATAACCTGTGCAACAAATAATATCTATGTTATTTTGTTGACACGAACGAATTAATATTTTATTGTTTAACACACGGAAAAATTATTAATGAATTATATAAAATAATTAAGAAATGTTAGAAATGTTAGAAATGTTTTATATTAAATGAAAATGTTTCAAAGCTTTTTAAAGTTCAAGGCGACTAACATTTTCATTTATAGTATTTATCAAAGAATTCTGTTGGATTTAAATTAAAAAATTAAACTAATTAAATTAATTCAAGTGGATGCGACTTGCACTCATGTTTTCATATCGTTCACAAAGGAATGATGAAGAATCAGGTTACATGCACGTGCATCGAATATTTAATGCACTTATTCTCATTAAATTGCTCTGTGCGGTATACTTATGGCTTTGATGATTAATTCTGTTTGATATCGATTTTTACATAATAAAGTAGCCTCAAGTAATTTACAAACTTTCTAATTTTCAAAACATATTTCTTAGTCACAAATTAAAATTTTAATGAATTTTTCACTAAAAGTTAATTGAAAAATAGATTTATTATTAGCTATTCATTTTCTTGAAACTAAAAATCTTTTCTTTTTTTAAATGCTTATAATGGAAAAAATTGATATATTAATATTTCTGCTACAATAATACACATCGACTCTATCGTTGTTAAATCTATTGTTAAAATTAAGCTTTATGACATCTCATAATACAGAGCAAAAGAAAAAGTTAAAGTGTTACGACAAAGATTAACATTTCGGTTGAAATTTCTGTTTTAGGATGCTAATCTAACATGGTACACGAACGACCCAGATCTAACAGAATGCTTCCAAAAGACGATATTAGTATGGGTACCATGTATATTTTTATGGACGTTCTCAGCGATGGAAGCGTATTACCTATTAAATAGCAAAAGAAGAAACGTCCCCTACACGTGGTTATTTATTTTTAAGCAAGTACTTACAATAGGATTAATTTTACTTTCCATAGTTGACTTAGGAATGGCGATACATGAAAGTACTTTTCGTATGGTCTACAGTGTTGATTATTACACACCTATAGTAAAAATTGTTAGCTTTGTAAGTACAAATTATTTTTTATATTAATAGATTTTTAAATTATTTTTGCATTAATTTATTAACAATATTCTCATTACTTGATTTTGCTTTTTTTTATAAAATAAAAGTGAGAATGAAGATTTCTGATTCATTATAATGGGAAAAAAGTAATCATATTCACATACACTAGTCATGTAAATTTTCTATATAACATTTAACTAAGTTTGCTAATTATTTCAGACGTTAGCATCAACTTTGATGCAATATAACAGAAAACATGGAATGCGGACGTCAGGTCTTTTATTCCTATTTTGGTTTTTCCTTGCGATATGTGGATGCGTCCAATATAGAAACTTTGTAAACAAATTTATTAAAGGGGTATGTTAAATTTTTATCATCTTGATAAAGGAAAACAATTTAGTATAGATACATTTGTAAATTGCATTTCCTGCATCGGATTTTTACAATTTCTTATCACACATATTATCTCGTGTTATCAGCATGTTATGATATTTTACAAAGAAAATGCTGATTGTGTGTTACATAATACAATGCAATTCATGAAGAAATAATTTATTTTTAGGCAGAGCCGACATACTCACTGGTGTCTTACATGATCTACTATCCAATAATAGTGATATTATTTGTACTTAATTTTCTGGTCGATGCAGAGCCTAAATTTTCTGAATATCCTACGGTAATCTTTTTGCTATTAGTCGTATAATGTACAAGACACAAAAACACATAAAACTTTACTATCAACTGTAAGATTTAGAATTAATGAATAATTTGATAAATAATTTTGAAATATATTTATTCGCAGGTTGAATCGCCATGTCCAGAGCAAAGTTCTTCTTTTCCTTCGAGAATTATTTTCGCGTGGTTTGATTCGTTAGCATGGAAAGGTTTCCGAAAACCACTCGAGACGTCCGATCTGTGGTCTATGAATCCAGAGGATATGGCTACGGAGATTGTGCCAAAATTTGACAAATATTGGAATAAAAATTTGAGAAAAACAGACGAGTAAGTTTAATCGGTGAATCTCTCATACAAATCAAGATTACTTATAATCAATATGGCTATAGCTAAGATTCTTTAAAGCGTTCATTTGTGAGAAAAATTGTGAGAAAAAAAATAAGATAAATAATTTTATATTAATAATAGGAAAATAATAGACTTTATATTTTATATTAATATTGATACAGATCGTATATAGATTCGAAAATGTGTATTAAACATATATATTAAAAATTATAATTTGCTGATCTATAAAATTATTATTTTAAGAATTCTTTTAAAATCAGTTTATTCGTGATAATACACTTTTAGAATGTTACTGCATTATCTTATCAGCGCTATAACTAACAGCATATTATTTTAAAAATATATTATAAATATTAATGTGTATTAGCGTAATGTTTTCTGACAAAGTATTTTTTAACATGTTCATGCATTTCTTGTGCTAACAAGGCTGATTTGGACATACTTTAGGTAGGATGTGTCGTATAACATGTCTTGATTATTTTTGTCATCCAACCTAATAATAGAAACCTTTATAACAGACGTTCTTTATACATATAGAGTAGAAAGTGTAAAAGCATCATATCGACAAACATCTGGACAAGTGAATTTTACCAGTAATCAGAAAAAGAAAATCGCCTCCATCTTACCGCCTATCTGCAAAGCTTTCGGAGCAACATTCATGTTTGGTGCATTTTTAAAATTAATTCAAGATGTTATGACCTTTATTAGTCCACAAATATTGAAGTAAGTATACATACATCCTCAGTTTTATCTCTAATTTTATTTTATAACTTATGAAGAAAATATAAATTGATGAATTTTACAAAATTGTCAAAATTTAATCATCTTGTTTGTCACGCATTTTTATAAAATGCATCTCTTTTTCATATTTTTTAGACTTCTGATTGGTTTTATCGAAGGAGATGAGCCAATGTGGAAAGGATATTTTTATTCTATCTTACTTTTACTGACAGCAATGCTTCAAACGCTAGTACTATCCCAATATTTTCATCGCATGTTCTTGGTCGGGTTGCGTATACGAACCGCGTTAATCGCGGCAATTTATCGTAAAGCATTGAGAATGTCGAACGCGGCGAGAAAAGAGTCCACACTCGGCGAGATAGTGAATTTAATGTCCGTAGACGCTCAAAGATTCATGGATCTAACTGCGTACATAAATATGATCTGGTCGGCACCTCTGCAAATAGTTCTAGCTTTATATTTTCTCTGGAACATACTGGGGCCAGCTGTATTGGCAGGTTTAGCAGTTATGATTATTCTTATTCCTGTGAACGCATTGATTGCCAACAAAGTGAAGACGTTACAAATTAGACAGATGAAGAGCAAGGACGAGAGGGTAAAATTAATGAATGAAGTACTTAACGGTATCAAAGTGTTGAAGCTCTATGCATGGGAACCTTCATTCGAGCAGCAGATACTTAAAATTAGAGTCAAAGAGATTCAAGTATTAAAAGAAGCGGCATATCTTAACGCTGGTACGAGCTTTATATGGTCATGCGCGCCCTTTTTGGTACGTTTTTTAGTACAATTAATTATATACAACACAAACACATACAAAAAAAAAAAACAATTTACATCATAATTGAAAATCTTAGAAATACATTTCTTACGAAGTACTTGTAATGCAAAAGCTTTTTTCTTATTTTTTATTTTTATTTTAGTAAAGTCTTATAATTTTTAATATAATTTTTTTAAAAGTTTTACTGTAAGATTTCAAAAAAATTTTTTGTAAATTATGGCAAAAAATCTAGCAATAAATATTTTTTTTCCGAGAAATTTTTGATTACTTATATTCAAAAATATCTTTTGTATTTTTAAAAATATTGTTTTTTGCAAATGCAGGTATCTTTGGTATCTTTTACAACTTACGTACTTATAGACGAAAAGAACGTCCTAAATAGTACAATTGCCTTCGTTTCACTCAGTTTGTTCAACATCCTAAGATTTCCACTGTCTATGCTGCCTATGATGATTACTAATATAGTTCAAGTAAGTTTAAGTAATGTATACACATAATTGAGTTATTTTCGTTTATTCATCTTTATTCATGTTTTAAATTTTATAATAATTTCGTGTACAGGCTTACGTCTCTGTAAAACGTATTAATAAATTTATGAACATGGAAGAACTGGATCCTAACAATGTACAGCATGATCCATCGGAACGTGAGTGTAAAATTTTTTCTTTTAAATACGTTTAATATATATATATATATATATAATAAATATGTATAATGTATATAATATATTTACATATTTTTTAGCACACGCGTTAGTAATTGACAACGGTACCTTTTGTTGGGATAGCGAAGAAATCGAGAGACCAATACTACGAAATATCAATTTGCATGTAGAACAAGGTCAATTAGTAGCAATAGTTGGTACAGTGGGATCAGGCAAGAGTTCTCTTCTATCTGCTCTACTTGGTGAGATGGATAAAATAAGCGGAAAAGTAAATACAAAAGTGAGTATTCTTTTCGAATCAGAAATACAAAATATAGAAATAAAACTTATACATTTTTTATAACAAACGTAATAATAAAACAACAAAATAAATCTCACATGTTACATTTATACGGAGCAGTCTTATTGAGAAAGAATTTCAGAATAATTAATAATGTAATGTTTAATTTTGAATGCTAAATTTTATTATATATGCTTTTATTATCTGAAAATATAAACTAAGATTAAATTGTAATTCTTAATTCAATGTTGATAAAAACGAAGAATAATATGTTTTATTTTTATATATTAGGTCATTTAAAAAGTATCCGCGGTTTTTTGTTCAATTTTTGAATGAAACAACCGCGGATACTTTTTAAATGACCCAATATATCTCTCAGATTAAGATAAAGATTGGGATTTGAAGATTGACTAAATACTTCTTTTAGGGATCAATTGCATATGTCTCGCAACAAGCGTGGATACAAAATGCCACATTGCAGGACAACATTCTGTTCGGAAAGGCCTTGAACAAATCAGTATATAATAGTGTGATTGAAGCGTGTGCGTTGACTCCAGATTTTAAGATGCTGCCCGCGGGAGATCAAACAGAGATCGGAGAGAAAGGCATAAATTTGTCCGGCGGTCAAAAGCAAAGAGTAGCCTTAGCTAGAGCTGTATATAACGATTCCGAAAATTATTTCTTAGACGATCCTCTAAGCGCGGTAGATTCACACGTAGGAAAACACATTTTTGAGAAAGTGTTAGGTCCGAACGGCCTGTTGAAGAATAAAACTAGAATACTCGTTACTCACAGCATCACGTACCTGCCGGAAGTCGACAACATTATTGTTCTTAAAGATGGCGAAATAACGGAGAGTGGAACCTACAAACAATTGCTGGAGAAGAAAGGTGCTTTCGCCGAGTTCTTAGTGCAACACTTACAAGAAGGTATCTATAAATGTAATTAAATTCTTGCTACATATTTCTATATACTTATTATAAAATTTGTTGTTACATTTTTCCTGGATTTAAGTTGGAAATCGTAAGTCCGCGAAAAAGTAATTACAATTCCTTTTCCTACTTTGTATGCTTGCATAAGAAATACTCCCCTTGTCACTAGAGTGTTAGGATGAAATTTTTAATTTTTAGTTTTTAATAGTATTATTGTTATTAATACAATTATATTTAATATTATTTAATTTTTAATACCACATTCTAGTTCAATTTCAATAACTTATTTACATAATTCTCGTTTGAATTCTTATTTTGTGCTACAGTTAAGAGTATGTGCATGTGCGAGTTTTTTTTAAATTTCTTCCCATTTTTATAATATTATTAATATTTTCTGTGAATGATAAATCATTATTTTAAAATCATGACAAATTTGAAACAGTGCACGTTGATGACGGTTCTGAAGCAGATTTACGTGAAATCAAACAGCAACTTGAATCAACAATGGGAGCGGACGAGTTGCAGCAAAAGTTAACTCGAGTACGGTCTAGAATATCTGAGAGTCTAAGTGAATCCGGTTCTGTGACCGATAGAAAATCACTTAATGGTTCTCTGACAAGGTATAATCTCATAAATATGATATTTAATTAACGTGATGCAAGTATGCTCGCTACTAACTCGAAATAATATACGTATACCAATAGGCAATACTCGACAGAAAGTCAACAGTCAGCGAATTACGTACATAGCAATAGTGTTAGTGTATCAAAAGAGAAAGATGCACCGAAGCCTAACAATATCGGGGAGAAGCTGACAGAAATCGAGAAGACCGAAACTGGAAGCGTAAGTTGCACGAGAGATCATTGTTAATTTTTCTAATTTTAAAAAGACTGTACGTCTTCATAATTCTCTTTTCATGACAGAAAGTTACAAGTACTTTTATTCTCAAGCATTTTGTTATTCTTTTGCAAGGTAAAATGGAAAGTGTACTCTCACTACTTGAAATCCATTGGATGGTTCCTATCGATATCGACAATCGTGATGAACGCGGTCTTTCAATCGTTCAGCATCGGCTCGAGCGTTTGGCTCAGTATATGGTCGAACGATAATCAGGCAGTTGGAAACAACACATTCGATACAGCAAAGCGAGACATGTATCTCGGGGTTTATGGTGCGCTCGGTTTTGGTCAAGGTATGTTTCCATTAATTCTTGTAACACATTCGCCCGTTGTCAGATAGATTCGATCAGTATTGTATAAAATTTCGCGTTTACGATGGATGATCAGGTAAGCTTATTCCTGTCGCTGCTACGTGTATAAATATACATATCATTTTTCTATCGCAGAAGGCAATTACTTCATTTAATACAATGTTAACAGGCAATGGCACTTAATTTTGCTCGTCATAGCATATCGTAATTTGAAAGGCATGTTCCCTCACAGATTACACATCATTGGGGTATAATTAATCTTAACGTAATTCTTTCATACCTAAAACTCGATATTGAATCGAGTTAATAATAATTTAAAAATCATGAATAACTACTAATGTGACCTTTTTATTCCGATAACGTTATGAGTTTATGTCTGGGAATATATACATCACATACACGTTAATTTCAAAAATAAATAAAATAATTTTCTTTCAAAAAATCAAACTGAGTGCGGTTTGCTGTGTCTACAAAATACTAACGTTACTAACTAAACATTCAAAAGCAATTAAAGATTGAAACTTTTTGGTAACCATATGTTTTTGATTGCAAGTGTTGTAGTAATCATTTCCTACAAATGATCGCTTTTTTAGTATTGCATGAAACATTTTTCTGTTTGATATGTCTTTTGTTCAGTACAATTTGCATTTTTTATTAAATAATTTATTAATCTTTATTATAATTACCCTTTTTACAAGCGAAAATTTGATTATAGATAAAAAGTAATAGATGGAAAAAATAATATATATTTACATAAGATATTATAATGAATGTTATGTGTGTTTGTATATAATTCTCTTGTAATCTTTTTGTAATCTTGTGATCTTTTGTGATCATGGTGTGATCCATTAAAAATTTGTTTGGTGCCGTTTACTAAATCTATTCGAATAATATATCTATCAGATGGGTTAATCAGGATTAATTACATGACATCTATTATTTTATATTTAAAGTTTATTATAGAAAACAAAAAAATTTTTTTTTAATAACACACGCTTTTACGTTTAATGGTAAGCATGAAGTAGAAAAACAAAAGAAAGCTTTTAGCATTAATATCTTAAAATAAATATAATAAAAAAAAGAACGGAAAATCAGTCTATGCTATACTGATTAATCGATATAATTACATATCTAATGTGCCTAGGAAATTTTAGTTGAAACCATTATAAAATGAATGTAAATCGTTTAATGAATATAAAAATTAACTAATGTTAATTAATATAAAAATCATTTAACTAAAATTACTTAACTAAATAAAAACTGATAACTTAAAATTTCGGAAAATGATTTTCTCATCAGATAATTGCGTGTAAATTGAAATGGATGTAGAATAATAACATATGTTAATTTAGAGGAATTTAAGCAAGCTTCAGACGAAAGAAGATCCGAGACATTCTTCATTTATCAATCATTATGTTTGTTTCTTTAATTTGGCTATAAAGTTTTTATTAATAAAATGTATTGTGCCTGAATTTTTATTATATTTAAAAACACATTGACATGCTTAGCATTAAATGTGATTGAATTCCTTGATCAGATTATGTAACATGCAAAATATAATAATGATAATTAACGTAGTTAATGAAATTTAATTTGAGAATGGAACGATACTGATTTAATATATATCTCAACACTTACCTGAGCCATAAATGCGTGAGATTGCAATCACATTAATGTTAAATATATGATGAAAATGCGAGCTGTAGTATCTCGCATGTGCGATTTTTCTTCATCTTGGATCACAACAGTTTAACCAGTTTCGCTTTCTATTTTGTTATTAACTTATTGTTACCGCTAATAGCTAACGCCAGTTATGTTAGCGTTATGTTATACGATTAAATAAACTAACAGACACGTTGTTCTTGTTACCTTCTATGTAAAGACAATTTTTCGTGGCATCGAAATTTAACAGTGTACATTAACAAGTCAATTTAAACGTTAACATCACAAAGCAACAAATTTTTTTTTGTAGAATTGCAAGCGAATAGTGTCGAGAGAGAAAAAAGAATTTTTTCCTCCAACAAGATTATTTATTTATTTCTAAATTAAATTTCAGCCACTTTTGTAGTGCTGTCGCAGACAGCGTTGGTTATCGGCTGTCTACGGAGCAGTAAACTGCTGCATTCCGAGTTATTATTCACCATGCTACGATAACCTTTAGGATTCTTTGACACTACGCCGTCCGGCAGAATATTAAATCGTTTTGGGAAGGATATTGACACAATAGACAACATTTTACCTCCAAGTATTAGGGCTTGGTTGTTTTGTCTAGCATCGGTATGCGAGAGAGTTTTAGTTTTAATTTCTGTATATCACTACACTCAATCAATGTTTAGCAGAACCACTGGTCCACCAATCGGTACAAATATAATTTATTATATTTGTAATAATGACAGCTTTCTGGTTTTCTCTATTCTTCATTAATGTCTATTAATGATCGGTAGACGACTATCAGAAGCGTACGTTATTAAAATTATTTTTGCATGCCTGATGAGACACTACGTGTGTCTTCTTTCTCACAGTACAATCATATAAAGTATCTTTATCATTTTTCTTATCTTAGCGTTATTAACACGCTCCCATTTTTCTCTCCGCATATTTATTATTTGTACTTACATTTATTGCTTTTTTAATTATGTGCACCTCAATTTATGTGTGACTGTAGTGAGGAACTTGCATATGAACGTTTAGATGAAATCAGGTGATGAGCAACTAATGAAAATGAACATTGCCGATCGTAGAGCCTTTTAATCATTCACTCACTTGCAAAAGCTCGGTATATCTGATAGTTCGCGGACGCAAAAATATCTAATATGTAAAAACTGTCTAATTTTTTTAATCCGATAAATCAAAGTTGATTACCGATCGTTGTAGGCGTGACAGTATTCGCAATGGCGATATTCCTGGCTAAAGGGACGATAATCGCTTCTAAGCGTATCTTCGAGGGTACGCTGCAACACGTTCTTCACAACCCAATGTCATTCTTTGACAGAACTCCGACTGGTCGAGTTCTTAGTCGGCTTGGTAAAGATATTGATGTTATTGACAATATCCTACCGGTTTATCTGCGTTCTTGGATCACTTGCCTCTTTTCGGTATGATATTCTCATATAACTACGTACTACTGTATAAGTAATGATCTCTGTGACAGTTGATGTGAATTTAATATTATTACGTCTCTTATTTGTCGAGCGATACTTGCTACAGATATCGATATCCTCCTTTTTTAGTTTATATTTAAATTTGTTTTGAATTGAAACATCTTGCACGAAATATTTTTGTTATTTTCTATTATACTGATAAATAATTTACGTTCCATCAGTAACTTATATATCAGTTTTTATATTAATTGACGTTGATTTTACATCAGAATTACTAGAAACGATAAATTTATAATTGCGAAATAAAAAAAGTATTTTTTTTCTTTTTATCGATAAAATCACGCATTTCTGCGTAATTATCCTGCATATTTGAATATATAAAAATGCCTAAAGTGAAATATATTTATTTACGACAGACACAAAGTAAAAAAGATGCGGATTCTTATTAATAGGAATGTACATTCTGTCAGAATTCGGGTCTGACTGTTCACTGGAAATTTGAATGTAGCATTATTTTGAATAATAAAGCTTGGAATTTTAGAAGAAATGGCGAAATGTAATAACATAGTGCTAACCTGCCGGCTAAGCGTATATGGGCACGGGTACGCAACTTGATTGTGTAAGAAGTTGCCGGCAATCAGTACAGCATGGTGGATCGACAAGCTTTGAAAGGACACGAAGGAACATGTGGTAAGAAATATCTACCTTGATGCTGCTTGCCTGGCTCGAACAGTATTCGAGCGGCTTACCCGTGCGTTTTGTGCATTCAGCCGGCCAGGTAACAGCCACATTTTGAATGGCTGCTTTCTTCTTCAGTTTAATTTTTTTCTAAATTTGTCAAAAGATACGTTTTTGTTAATTTATTTTTTTTTTAGTATATGCTATCTGAAAAATACTGATGGGACAATAAAAAAAAAGATGTACGAAATTGATCAACAAGTTCTTATTCTGACGGTTTATTAGAACTTATTGGAAATATAACTGAAAAGATACATGCAAAATCATATTAACGAATCATATCTTTTCTGTGATGTTAAATAGCTCGCTGAGCAGCTTATTTTTTTGGTTTTATTTTGAGTCACGAAAGAGTGACGTGGTTCATGGGAATGCTTGTGCTGGATTTTACATTGTGCCATCCAGTCGTATTGCATCATAAAATTCATAAGATTGAGCGTTGATTACGCATTGATTGAGCGTTGATTACGGTGTTATCAATTGTTTGTATATCAATTGTTTTAACTATTTCAAGAATATAATGTAAGATATTTCTTTGTTCGTCCTTTTTAGAAGATGTTACGTTGACGATGTTCATTTTCGTTTATTGTCAATGTATGTATTTAGATCCGACGAGTTGGAGAGCTAAAAAATGACGATTGTCTTAATTTTTCACAAAATATTTTAATATCGCTAAAGACGGAACTTGGCTTTGTCAAATCATTATCATTCTTATATCACTTACTCTTCAATTGTTCTCCTTTTACATTTATATTGAATCCTCTTTATATTATGTTTTTTTCTAGTTACTGTCTTTTTGCGTTGTTACAAACTTTTTTTTATTTAAGAACATTATTGTTAATTTGAATTTACTTCACTGTCGTCGTGATAATTTGTACGACTATTGTATATAAATCATAGTGCAACCATAGTGTAGTAATCATTCAGGGAATGGACACAATTATACCAGTAATATTCAGTGTACAGAAATGGTCTTGCTTGTGCTTGATAACGCTTTTTATTCTATTGCTTGTATAACATCCATCTAATTACGATTCTGCCTTCTAGGAAATGTGATTTATTTGTATTTCCTGTTGCTATATATATCCTGTCTGGTATACACACAGCAAACTTCACATTTTCGCATAACATGAAGTCAGAACGGTAGTTTAAGTTCGCGATCAAATGCACTTGAGTATCGAACAGCATTACGATAGAAAAGAAAAAAAATCATTTGCAGATATCATTTGGCATTTCGAAAACGTACCGTGTTGAAAAGAAAAATAAATGTTTAAGTCTAATATCAAAAACTATATATGTTTACATGTAACACGTGTCTCATTGAACATGCAACACATTGCTTATGAGATAAGTTTTTGTTATTTTTTTTTGTTCATTATCGTTCTATATTTTTTTTTTTTACAAATCGCGTAAATTATGTCAGATGCGGTTACAATGAAAGTCATCCATGTCTGATGTTGTAGCGGTGGCGAGCTTTTTCTGCGATTTGGCACCGCAGCTGGGTTGTTGGTTGGCTGCTCGCCAGATGCACATAGTGATGCTGCGTGCTGTGATGCGTGCCCCATTGACCTTCTTTGATACGACTCCTATTGGTCGTATTATCTCCAGGTTTGCTAAAGACGTGGACGTCCTGGATACATCTCTTCCCCCACAAATTTCTGATACCATCTATTGCTTGTTTGAGGTAATTTCTTTCGTAGCGTGCTGAGAGAGAATACCAGTTGGGAATCTCTTATTGCTTTTCCTTTATCTTCTCGACCTCGCAGTTTGAGTTCCATACGTATACCATCACTTTCCGGAGAACTTTGATTAAACTGCGATTAGATATCATTGTCGTCCTTGAATATAATTTATATTTATTAAGAGGTATCTAAATAATGATGGTATGATATATTATTGTACTATGGATGGGTATAATTCCCACCTGTAGTTTTGCAAACTGGTTTTGAGAATACATTTGGAACACAATTAAATATATAGAGTCCGCCACCGAGTATAATTGTGTCCGTTCTCGTAAAACGACTGCAGTCCATGAATTATTCTATCTGTACCGAAATAAAGGATATTTTAGCAGTATCAAGTTTGACCAAGAGAGACTTAAATATACCTTGACGCTAATGCTTATATGTACTTGTCTAATGTATATATGTGATAATCATATTCATAGTACATGTTGGTGGGCCTATGAAACGATCAGCGCTAGCTTTGTTTTTGTTTTTGTACAACTGCTGTCCGGAAAAGATATGAGAGCGTTTCATTCAATAGAATTTCTGCACGAGATATCAGTTTCTTTTTTATATGTATCCTTGTGATTCGTTCGATCAATTTTGCATTTATTATTTATATACATTTTTTTGTCACAGATGTTTTTTTTTGTTCTAACTAATTTATATTTGTATACAATATTAACATTTTTCTATCTTGTAAGATTAATGATGAAGTAGAATATTTTTCAGTGTTATTAATAGCTGTATGCATTGCAGGTGATAGCTACTCTCTTTGTTATAAGCTACAGTACACCTATATTTATCGTGGTGATACTGCCAATAGGCGCGATTTATTATTTTATTCAACGTTTTTATGTTGCAACATCGCGTCAATTAAAACGATTAGAATCCGTGTCGAGATCTCCTATATATTCGCATTTTAGTGAATCTGTGACTGGTACGTATTTAAAACCGTATAATTATACTGTAATATTTTATTTATTAACAAAAATTTACATTTCTAAAAATAATCTATTATTTATCTATTATTTATATATAGGTGCACAAATAATTAGAGCATACGGCGTGCAAGAACAATTTATCCATGAATCTGAAAATAGAGTAGATTTTAATCAAGTGTGTTACTTCCCTAGCATTATTGCAAACAGGTAAATATTTGCATGACGCAATTGTAACTTCTTTTATGCATATTTATTAACTGGAATGCATAATGTTGCAGATGGCTGGCCGTGAGATTAGAGATGGTTGGAAACTTAATTATATTCTTCGCAGCTTTGTTTGCTGTTTTAGGTAGAGATACTATGAGTTCAGGTCTCGTTGGTCTATCAGTTAGCTATGCCTTACAAGTAAGATATATTTGCCATAAAAACGACATTTTAACGTTATATATGATGTGATATTTTCTACCATGTCAAATAGAATGTCTCTCTGTGATAAAATTAAGTTAAGATAATGAAAGTACTTAAAGCATTTGTTACACGCGGGTGATGTTTATATATTTATTTGCTACTTTATGAAAAAACTGTATGTATTTCATGTATAAGAATTCATGTTATGTTTGTTATAGATCACCCAGACCTTAAATTGGCTGGTACGCATGACGTCCGACGTCGAGACTAACATCGTCGCGGTAGAGAGAATAAAGGAGTATAGCGAGACCGCGCAAGAAGCACCGTGGAAGAACACTGAATTTACACCTTCGAAAGAGTGGCCTAAGCACGGTCGCGTTGACTTCAAGGACTTCAAAGTTCGCTACAGAGAGGGATTGGATCTCGTGCTGAACGGTTTGACGTTCAGCGTTCTCGGCGGCGAGAAGATCGGCATAGTAGGCAGAACCGGTGCCGGAAAGTCATCTATGACATTGGCACTTTTCAGAATAATTGAAGCAGCACAGGGGAAGATTTTGATCGATGATATCGATATTTCCAAGCTGGGCCTTCATGACCTCCGCTCGAGATTAACCATCATTCCTCAGGATCCCGTATTATTCTCTGGAACACTAAGGATGAATCTGGATCCTTTCGATTGCTACAACGATGAGGAAGTTTGGAAGGCGTTGGAGCACGCTCATCTGAAATTATTTATAGAAAGTATGAATGGTCTTCGTGACCTTTTGTTAGAAAATCTTGTACTTTTGAAGGATATAATCTATTATCGTCTTTCAGATTTGCCAAACGGTCTTTTACACGAGGTTACTGAAGGCGGAGAGAATTTAAGCGTAGGACAACGACAATTGATCTGTTTAGCAAGAGCATTACTTAGGAAAACAAAAGTTCTTATACTGGATGAGGCAACAGCTGCAGTTGATTTAGAAACGGACGATTTAATTCAGACTACTATTCGCCAAGAATTTAAGAATTGTACAGTTCTCACAATAGCCCACAGGCTCAACACTATTTTAGATTCTGACAGGTATATTTCAAATTATTTTAACATTATATTTTGTGAGCATTTGTACATATATACTATAATATTATTTTATTTGTGAAGCACGATACTTTACAATATTTCTATTTATGAGAATTTATTCATTATTCCAGTTTTCATTTAATTTCTTTTTTAATTGTTTTAAGTATATTTTATTTTCAAAATTTTTCTATTTTCAGCTTATTCTCAAACAATAATAATGTTTCAGGGTAATCGTATTGAACAAAGGTCTGATCGTCGAATATGATTCTCCGGAAGTGCTTCTTAGCAATCCATCTAGCTCTTTCTACAGTATGGCTAAGGATGCAGGTCTAGCTGCTTAAGAAAAAAAAATTCATATCATATAATCATTTTTTAGCGGCTGTACATTATTCATGAGCCAATGTCGAAATAAGTGACACAAAGAAAGCCATAGAACGAAAAAAACGCGCGTAGCCTCAGCATAGATTAATTTGTATAGTGAAATATTTCTACGCAAAAAAAGCAAGAACATTTAACATAACCGACGGTGCAAAAACTCTTGTCTCAACATTATTGTTGCCAGATTTTATCCGATGACTCTCCGATTGTATCGTCGATTACCAAACTTCATATATTCTAGAATAAGTTTTGTAGCGAGGTCTTTCATCACGAAGCAAGCAATGCGACACAATTTTAAACTAGCGTCGATATCCAATATCTAACTTTAACTGGGTAATCGGGTGGATTCCTATCTGATCAATATGTTATAATCAATGACTTATTTTTCTCGATGTACTTTACATTATTCCTCTAAAAAAATTTAGCATTATAATTTTATAATAAAATTAATGCACTTAATTACAATTTCATCACATTTCTAGAGTAACAATATTAAGGGTCGACACGAGTAAATTTATATATACTTCATTTGCGATGTATAGATATATATTTGCACTCTATTATATATTGTAGCGTAGAAGAAATATTTTGTCATGAAATTTGTTTTTATTTATGTTTTACAAAGCTACGAGGCCTGATAAGAGCGGGATTTTACAATTTTATTCTTAAAAGTATTATAATAAATATAATAAAATGCTGGCGATGGAGATGTATGTCTCCATGCTCATATTTTATTTTATAGAAGTAATATTATGTCATGAAATCTTTTCAGCTTCTTTTTTTATGAAGGCGCGTATAGAACTGGATTTTATTTAATTTTTAAAACATAATAGATAAAATTATCTGCATCTCAACCAGTGACGCAAGGCATTTGCCTAGAGCGGCAAATTTTTTAAGACAGAAAATGTTTACACAGTTGAGGTAAATTTATTAATTTAACGTTTTTGCATGAGTTATCAAGCATATTTTATCAGAAACGATATTTTAAATATACAGTTAAAAATATATTATATTTATATTATTTAGATTATTAAATGTTTTCACCGACTAATGTTTGTACCAACTAGGATATAAAACCTTTTTTTTTTCATTCATTTTCCTTTTATCAATTTTATAAATTAATGAAGCCAATTGGAGACAGTTAGATGTTGATGCCTAGGAATGGCAAAATGCTTAATTCGTTACTCGATCGAAATGAATTTTTATTTTATCTTTTTTTCTAACAAAAACGCTCTATATACGATCCTTTAGGTGTCTCCTGATTACAAATATCGTAATTACGGTACTTTTGACATAATTTTTTTTTAAAGAAATTTTTCTCTGTCAAAGGTTTTCATAGTTATTCCTGTCGACTCTTAAATTGTACCAATATTATTATATTTAATATTGATATGATAATGTATTGTTATTATATTAATTTTAATATTATGTACGAAGTTCTTACGGTATATCGAAGTTAACTGTAATAATGTTGAATAATTTTTAAGTAAAGATAATGTTAGTTAGAATAATATTTACAAACCAAAGTTGACTAAGAATTTCTAAAATTTCGGCCAAGCGATAGGGATCTTTGCACCCGACAACTTTTGAATTAAATTATAGCCACCCGAATAGTTCCAATTAAGTAAAGACTAAAGTAAGATTATCAACAAGTATGTGTACAGTAATTGATAAAAGTGCGTATTCATTCAGATTAAAAAAAAAGAGGAATTCGAAGTAATTATTAATTTAGACAAATGAGATCTAAAATACAGTTCTCCTAATTACTGCTTTAATAATCTTCGAGATGTGTTCTCTAAATTCAAATTCATATAAATTTTCTTTCTATGAACTATATCGTTCAAAAGAGTGCATTTTTATTTTCACATTTTCTTTAATATGTATTGGGTCATCTAAAAATCCGCAGTTTTTTGTCACTAGATGGTGTTGATGGTCATACATCGGGCAACACTAATCCGATTGTGTCAAACGAACGCGCTTGAAGATGACATTTTATGTGACATTTTTTGTAACCAAAGTTTGGTGATTCATCAATCGTGTCAAAAGTTATATTGGTTTGAAAATGAGTGACATTTCTGAAGAAATACGCTATGTGATGCTTTTTTATTATAAAAAAGGCAAAAACGCAGCACAAACATGCAGACAAATTTGTAAAGTTTACGGCGCGGATGCTGTAAGTGAACGCATGACGCAGGAGTGGTTTGTTCGATTTCATTTTGGAAATTTTTATATCAAAGCTCGACCTTGCTCTGGTCGGCCAGTCACTGAAAAAGTCGATGAAATTTTGCAACTGGTCAAGCAAGACCGGTATGTGAGCTGTCAAGAGATAGCCAATGTACTAAGAATCAACTATATGACAGTTTGGAATCATTTGGAAAAGACTGGCTACGCAAAGAAACTCGATGTTTGGGTGCCACATGAATTAACGCAAAAAAATTTGATTGATCGAATTTCCATCAGCGAAACACTACTAAAACGCAACGAAATCGACCCATTTCTGAAGCAAATCATCATAAGCGATGAAAAATGGGTGAAATACAAGAATATTGTTCGTAAAAGATCATGGAATAAGCGCGGCGAACCATCACAAACGACTTCAAATAAGGTGATGCTGTGTGTATGGTGGGATTGGAAGGGAATCGTCCATCATGAGGTGTTATCACATGGCCTAACGATTAATTCAGAGCTCTACTGTTCACAACTGGATAGATTACAGGAAGCGATTAAGGAAAAACGACCAGAATTGATTGACAGAAAAGGTGTTGTCTTCCATCATGATGACGCCAGACCACACACATCTTTGATGACGCGCCAAAAATTGAGGGAGCTTGGTTGGGAAGTTTTGATGCATCCACCGTATAGCCCGGACCTTGCACCGTCTGACTACCATTTGTTTCGATCTCTGCAGAACTCTCTTGATGGACAAATATTGGCCGACAAAAGAGCTGCCGAAAATCACTTGAAAAAGTTTTTCGCCGATAAACCACAACAGTTCTACACGGATGGAATTATGAAATTACCCGAAAAATGGCAAAAGGTTATAGATAATAATGGCCAATATATACTTGATTAAAATTGATTTTCAATAAAGAAAAATTTCATTCAAAAATTGAACAAAAAATCGCGGATATTTTTTAGATGACCCAATATATGACAATCAGTTGCAATAATAATATTTATTTTCACGTTGTTAAATTACATACAATGTTAATAGATCGAATGAAAATGTATTTTAATCTGACATTTGCTGCATACTTACCATATTGTAAACAAATTAATTTTAACCTGAAGTTTAGTAACGTAAAATTTTATTTTTATAAATCACTTGTTGAAGCGAATAACGGTATAGCAATTTCAATTTAGTATACATTTTGTATGCGGCAAAAGTATTTAGAAAATATGCAACATCACATTTTACTGTATATACTCTTATCTCTTTATAAAGTTTTATGTATTATCCAAAGTATAGTTAAAAATGACATCTGTGCCTATTTTACAAAGAGCAGTGAAATCGCATTTATCGAGAATTACATAAACTTTTAAAACTAACTCGCGTACTTTTTTTTCAAATGATTTGATCGCGTTCGTAGGTAAATCATGTACTTCAGCCAGTGTTCTCTTAAACTATTTACTATTTTATTTAGTGATCATTTATGTACTAGATTTGTATAGCATTTTAATCTCTTTAATATTGTATAGCGCTTAATAGTCATTGAATACTTTCGAGAGTATTAATAATAATTAAACTTGCCTTGTATATGTCGTTTTATTTGTAAAAGTAAGGCTGCTGAAATGAGATAATTATTAAAGATCGTTTTACAATCACCTAGTGCATTATAAAGTTCCATCGTTTGGAAATAATTTAATATTCATGAAACAAAAGATACACGATTCGCATGACCCTTGAAAAAGGCAATATAGCTACAGCTAAATTTACAATGAAAGGAAAGTAATGTTTCTTTAATGACACAAGCGTATCCGAGATTTATCATATAAATATAAAAGCCAAATATCAAATTTCACTAGTACGTTAACTCGACGCAATTTATATAATACTTGGGCCTTCTTTCGTAAAATTACAAGACTCGCAAACCTGGCATAACCAGATTATGACTAGAAAATAATAAATTGGTAACATACTGTAAATTTATAGCGAGATAACGAGATATTAAGTTATATAATTTAAATTAACGTGTAAGAAAAAATTGTTCGTCGATTAAATTTTGTCACGCAGTGATTTATCGTCTTATTAAAAGTTTTTTTTTTCTAAAGTTTTTCTTTTCTTTAATCCTGTGTTGATGTGTTTATATGAAATTTTCATTATCGATACTGCTTGTAATGTACTTCCAGTCTATTTATTGTGCAAAGTTAGAAATTCGTAAAAATCTGTCTTGCCATTTGTTGTAAAGCTTGGATATTAAATAATATATAATAAGGTATTATTTTAATTCTTGATTAACTCTTTCGAATTTAGCGATGCGATAAATTATCGTTTAATAAATTAGAATGAAAATTTACCGGTTTAATATCCAAAAATTGTTCTGTCTCGAAAGAGTTATACAATATAATTGTTTTTCACGATTATATATTGCGAAAAGAAAACATGAAATTGTATTCTGACGCTATTATTTTCATTGTCAATAATGTATAGACTAAACAACGCATTAAATATTTTTTAACTTTTAGAAGTTACGCTCACGCCTTCAGTTGAATTATCTCTAGTTTTAATATAAGAGTCATTGTGAACCGAACTTTCCGAGCACAAATAGTGATGAGATTTAAATTTTACGTTTCTTTCTTTAGCTTTTTTCTGATCGCATTTATCCGGTATTTAAGGTATATTTACTTGAAATTTTCACAATACCGATTGTTATATTTAAAAAGATACAAGGTGCGTCCCAAAATTTTCCAAACTTTTTCAATAGGGATAGGTCGGGTGGCGCCATCCGTGTGTTCGATTGCGCGTTTGAAAGGTACATCCCTAGCTGACTTCCAGTAAAAATTTCATGACATTTGGTTCAGTGGAAACGAAGTTATGGCGTCTCAAGTGTCAGTATGTTGTATACATCGGTACGAGAATGAACTTCGAACAAAGAGCCAATATTAAGTTTTGTTTTAAACTTGGTAAAACATTTACCGAAACCCATAATTTGATGAAACAAGTTTATGGTGATAATTGTGTAGCCCGTGCCAGTGTTTATGAGTGGTATACGCGATTCAAGAACGGTCGTGAGGACATAAATGACGACGCACATACAGGTCGCCCAAAATCGACAATTAACGAAAATTCCATCGAAGTTTTTATGATTCCAAGGGTATTGTGCACAAAGAATTCGTTCCAGCAGGCCAAACAGTTAATGCTGTATTCTATGTAAGCGTTTTGAAGCGTTTGGTGCACCGCATTCGTCGTATTCGGCCAGAATATCGCGAAGGAGGAAGTTGGCGCTTGTTACACGATAATGCGCCATCTCACCGTTCGACACTTGTCACTGATTTTTTGACTAAAAATCACATTTTAACAATCAACCATTCCCCGTATTCGCCTGATATGGCACCTTGTGACTTCTACCTATTCGGCAAAATGCATTTGTCCATGAAAGGAAAGCGGTATGTGGACGTAGAAGACATTCAAAGGCTTGTACCACTATTCTGAAGGACGTGCCTTTGAACGACATAAAACACTCATTTGAAATGCTTTTAGATCGTGCCAAACGTTGTATTGAGTCCGACGGGG